ATGTTTGAACAGGCCAGTACGCATGAGTCTAAATGCTCTCGTTCAAAATATTCTGGTCTACAGATTTAACATTCTCACTATTTTCCACAAGCAAACCTTCGATAGAGGATTTTGAAAGTCAATATACCTTATTGTGTAGCAACTATTATACTTAACAAATAGCCAAATTATTAAGGTAAACGATCTTGTCGCTTTTCAAGTAGAAAAGTTTTTCATAACTTTTAATTATCGGATTTAAAGCTTTCAAATTTTTGCAGATGGTAGAACAGAGTATAGTTCTTTTGTTTTAATATTTATTTTATGCAGATTTGATAAAACATCTCACTTCATGACAGTATTTTATTTTAAAATGTATTTAAAATTAAATACCGTCAAAATGTATGTATTAATTGAAATAAACATTTTACTTTATCGTAAACAATTAAAATAATATTTTTTATATAACGAATTTTTATTAATGATTTAAATATATAAAATAATAAAACCACCGGTTACAATTTAATAAAGACATTACACAACTATATATCACGAATGAAGACGTTACACAACCGTTAAATACAAAACAAAAACAAAAACAAATCAATGCAATAGTTTCTTTTCATTTAATTATCGAAACATAGGTTTCCAAAAGGAAATTGTGACGTAACCTCCGTCGTCCTGATTTAGACCGCCGTCTGAAGGTGAGCATTCATGGCGCTGTATTTCAAGCGCTTCCCTCACTTTTCTGTTAAAATTATTAACCTCTACTTTTAAGGTATTTTTATTGTTCCATGTAAAACTGCCATGACAATTTTTTGAATGCTCCGCTATGGCTGAGTAATCCCAATTTCCTTCGTATGTATTTTTTTGATCTTGGTAAATGCTAGATGAGATTTTTAATTTTGTTTCACCGATATAACATCTTTTGCAGGAGCATTCAAATTTGTACACACCTGGGTAAGAATTTATAGGAAGAGAAGGTTTATTTTTTGTGGTAAGTATATGTTGTAAATTTTTTGGAGATTTAAAAACTGGTGTATAACTTGCTTTTTTGAAAGCTTTTTTTAACTTCGGGCTAATTCCTAGAATCCACGGTAAAGATACAATATTTTTTGATGCAATTGATGAATGTTGACTTTCAATATTTTGTATTTTATTATGTAAATTTTCTTTAGTGGTTTTTATAATATGTTTCAAGTTTGTTTTTTTATAACCATTTTCTACAAAAACATCAACTAGAAATAATAACTCTTGTTCAATATTATTATCAGAGCATAAATATAATGCCCTATGAACAAAACCTTTAAAAATTCCGTTTATAATTTTTGGATCATGACATGAGTTAGGTTTGATTTGGACATTAGTTAAGGCATCTTTACGGTAAACTTTAAAATCGTACGTACCAGTTTTATTGTTAATAATAGTAACATCAAGAAAGTTTAGCGTGTTATTTTCATTTTCGATTTCCATGGTGTACTGAATATTTTTATGTTGGTTATTAAGTAGTATTAAAAATTTTTAATACTACTTAATAACCAACATTTTCTTCAGTAGAGTTAAAAGGAGAATGGGAGTCATCGACATCAACTTTTCGCATCTTCAGTAGAGTTAAAAGGAGAATGGGAGTCATCGACATATCTTTTAAATGACTTTAATTGAATATTGGAAATTGCTTGTGCAATAGCATTACTTTCGTGAAACTGTAGAAAACACTCCGCAACTACTACCATAAGTCCTAAACCAATAGGCCCAGAATCTTCTAGTTCATAAATGTCATGTTCAAATAAAAAATAACAATGCAAAAGGCATATATCTAAAAGTGTTTTTATTTCTTCAAAGGTAAATTTTGATGTAAAACTAGGATCATTTTTCAACCTCTCAATAAGGATAATTATCGCTTCCTTTACTGGGACTGAAGGATATAAATTAATGATATCATAAGACACTTGGATTTCATCTTTGTCAATTATCCATGAATTAGCTAAGTTAACAAATTGTTAAGAGTTTTTTAAATGTGTATTGTTCTTATTGAGGACGTGTTGTATTATATCAGTTAGGAATTTAGAAATTTTGTATGTAGCCGTTCCAATAGTGCTTACGATAACTCGCATCGGGTAGTTTTTTTCAGGTTTGTGGACTTTTATGACTCCATACAAACGAGGTGGTATAGCATCACTCGGGTAAAGATCTTTATATTCTTTAACCGTAAATAAACCTGCTTTATTTAGTTTTCTGAGTGTGTTTTGAACTTTACGAATGATTTGTGGAGTTGGGTCATAGTTGAGTTTTTTTGTTTTGCCCCCTAAATGTTCTTGTATTTTGGTTAAAGCACTATCAGAATTAATTCTCACTAGTCCAGATCCTTTATCGAACGGATTTATCATAATATTATCATCTTTCTTAATCTCATAAAGGGCTTTACGCTGTTCCTTATCTAGATTACTTTTGATAGGCAATTTTTTGAATGCTCCGCTATGGCTGAGTAATCCCAATTTCCTTTATAAAAACCACTAAATATTATAAAAACCACTAAAGAAAATTATAAAATATTATAAAAACCACTAAAGAAAATTTACATAATAAAAAACAAAATATTGAAACTCAACATTCATCAATTGCATCAAAAAATATTGTATCTTGGATTCCAGGAATTAGCCCGAAGTTGAAAAGAGCTTTCAAAAAAGCAGGTTATACACCAGTTTTTAAATCTCCAAAAAATTTACAACATATACTTACAAACCTCCTCTTCCTATAAATTCTTACCCAGGTGTGTACAAACTTAAATGCTCCTGCAAAAGATGTTATATCGGTGAAACAAAATTAAAAATCTCATCTCGCATTTACCAAGATCAAAAAAATACATACGAAGGAAATTGGGATTACTCAGCCATAGCGGAGCATTCAAAAAATTGTCATGGCAATTTTACATGGAACAATAAAAATACCTTAAAAGTAGAGGTTAATAATTTTAACAGAAAAGTGAGGGAAGCGCTTGAAATACAGCGCCATGAATGCTCACCTTCAGACGGCGGTCTAAATCAGGACGACGGAGGTTACGTCACAACTTCCTTTTGGAAACCTACGTTTCGATAATTAAATGAAAAGAAACTATTGCATTGATTTGTTTTTGTTTTTGTTTTGTATTTAACGGTTTTTTATATATATTTATATACTTGACAACAAGGGTATCAATAATCCCTTGAAATATTGTATAAAAATTAATAAAGAGTTACATCCATAATAGAAGTTTTAGTTTAATTATATTTCAAACTCTTTAATGATGTCTTTTAAAATTTAACATTACACTACCATATATCGTGAATAAAGACATTACACAACCATATATCACGAATTATTAAAGTTATTACATTATTTTATATTCATATATTAACAAACCATATATTATAATTTAATAAAATTAATACATTATATTATAATCATATAAACAACAAACCATATAATTTATTAAGTTTGTTATGTTATAATTTATTAAGTTTGTTATGTTATATAATATTATTAAGTTTGTTGTGTTATAATTGTTATGTAATAAATAATTAAGTTTGTTATGTTATAATCATATATTAACAAACCATATATTAAAATTTATTAAAAATATTACATTATATTATAATCATATATTAACAAACCATTTATAACAATCTATTAAGGTTATTAAATAATTCACTTAACACCTAAGATTGCCATTTAATTTTTTTGTTTTGTAAGCGAGACGGAATTTTCAAAAAAAAAAATAATGTTAAAGGCATCTACAACCAAAAAGTACATTTTTTATCGCCATAAAATAAATATAAAAAATAAGACAAATCCGCCTAAAAGTACTGATTTGTTTATCCAATTTATTAGCTATTGTATTTATCGTTTGTTGTATTATCAAGAGATTTAAAATTAAAACCTAATATATGTAAACATGTGCTTTAAAGGATATTTAAAATCTGATTAGTCCATTTAGAAATGTTTTCGTTTAAAATAAAGTGATGGAAAAGTAAAAAGGAAAGCATAAGTTAACAATCCTATTTCGGATTTCACTTGAATAAACTTCGATATTGAAGGAATTTAGACATAAATACGTTAACTTACTTTTTATTTTAATTTTAGAATAAATATTAATAAAACGATTATTTTTGTATATTATAACTAAATTCTCGTAACTAAATTCTCTCACATATTAAAACTATCAGTGGCCTAGGAAGTTTTTTAAATGTTTGAAATAACCAGCTTATAAACAACAAGAATATTCCAAATTTTTTTACGTTCTTATGTATGACGAAAAGATTCTTTAAAAAATTACTGCGATAGGAGAATGGGAACAAGAAACCCTAAAGCCTTAGCCCTCCCTGCCCCAAACGTGAGAGCAGCAAGTTGATGAAATATTTTTTGTACTATTTTCAACTAGACTGATATTCATCGAGAAATTTTAAATTTCATAGTAAAATATTTTAGTGTTAAAAAATTATGACCATATAAAGTTTAAACCCCCCTCCCCCTCAATTTGAGGGGGTTATTTCATCAACTTGTTGCTCTCACGTTTGGGGCAGGGGGGCTAAGACTTTAGGGTTTCTTGTTCCCATTCTCCTATCACAGTAAATTTTTTTTAAAAAAATCTTTTTTTCATACATATGAACGTAAAAAAATTTGGAATATTCTTGTTGTTTATAAGTTGGTTATTTCAAACATTTAAAAACCTTCCTAGGTCACTGACTATTATTAATAATACTGTTATTGATAAATTAAATCTAAGTTATTATAATTAATTTATTATTGATAAATCTACATCTAGACGATTGGTCTTAGTATAAATATATTTAATCATTATGACACCGATCGGTATCATAATGAAATTCTATCAGCTGACAAAAACGTTGCGTTGCAACAACAAAAAGCAAAATTGTGGACATGTTTTTGCAGGTGTTTCAAATAATATAATAACTTTGATAATATATGTTAATAATAACATTACTAATAATAGTTTTGATATGAGGCAGAACCTAATAATATATAACAACGATAGTTTTCATGTTTATTCTAAAATTAAAAGCAAATTAAATTATATTATGTCTAGATGTAGAATTACTTAAAGAACAATCATTGTTAATTGGAAGCGCTTAGACCTGAGCAAAACGCAAACATTGTTTACAAAAAAACATTTTATTCTATTTACAATGCTCTCGGATTTGTGATAAATCTGAGTCCAACTAGCATAAGTTCTCCTTGGATTATGGTGGAAATTAAAAAATCATCACAATTAAATTAGAAATTATACACAAAACAGGTAATAACAAAATTACCCGCGACTGAAAAATTACACAGTCCACGGTCTTTTAGATATTCATTATTTCAATCATTGTTGACAAAAAATACGATATAAAATTTATGCGTAGTAAAAAGCGCTATGTTTAGGTACGCATGCGTAAGAAAATACGAACTTTAAAAAAAAAATAGTGTTAACAAAAATCTTTGCGCGCTAAAACTGTATTTTTACCTTATACTTTTTTAGTGTAAATCATAGATTTGTTCATTTATTTGAAATCAATTTTCTAAAAATCTGACTGTAGGATTTCAATAATTTTTCTTAAAACTTCAGAAAAATATGTTCTATATGTTTGATATTTTTCTGGTCATTGCTTCAACTTTTTTTCCATACAAAAATTTGTTTTTACTATTATTTTTTCCATACAAAAATTTGTTTTTACTATTATGAATATTTCTTTATATATCTGATTTATATATATGACTATTTCCTTATATACTGTTGCGAATATTTCTTTATATAAGTGCAATTTCATTAATTATTTAGTTATTTACTATTTTTGTTACTATATATATATATATATATATATATATATATATATATATATATATATATATATATATATATATATATAATATATATATATATATATATATATATATATATATCCTTATAGTGTAGTCGAAAGAGACTTTTATGGTAAAAAAGTCTCTTTCGACTACAATTTTTATTACCTCGTCTCTTGAGCTGTATTTGATTGTCATCGAAATGTCAAAGCAATTAAATTAATAAAGTACATTAAATTTTATTGTTTTTTTAAAAAACCGCAATAATAAAGACTAGAAAGTTTTTTTTAATTAGTGGTGTTTTTGTTTTTGTTTTATTAAAAAACATTTTTAAAACATGCGTAAGTGTTGCTACATCAACTATCTTATAGCCTGGCTCGCAACGGAGTGCTGCTACATCGACTGACAAATAGCCTGACTAGCAAGGGAGTGCTGCTATATCGACTGAGGGTTTGGTTTAGGCAGGCAGTCTATCATTAAAAAAATTTTTTTTTTGAAGTTTTTTAACATTTTCTGGTCAGGTTTATTGTGGGGAATTATTAAACGTTTTCCGTGACTCTAATGAATTCACTTGTTTGTTTATAGTTGTTTGGTATTGTGGTTTATCCTCCTCCGGCTAGTTGCCATATAGAGACTACATTACCAAGACCCGCAAAGACAGGTTCGGCTCCCCAAGGAGCGTCATAATCCGCTTTACGGACCAAGAGTAAAGTGAGTTTAGGAAGAAAGAAGATATGTTAAAGTGAAAGACAGAAGTAGTCGTGTTAGAAAGATAGCATGGAGAAAGCGGACAGGATTGCATTCGATGTTAGGAGGTGCAATAGGTTTGTTTATAGTTGTTTTATTTACATATGACTGCGAATCTATTATTTACAAATATCATCCATTTTTTATATAAAATTCAAAACCACAAAATATTATATTATTAACTTTAAAATTACGTTGGCGTAATTTTCCAGTATCTTTAAGAAGACCGCATCATTACAAATATATTAATGTTTATATTAAAATACAACCGCTAATTTTTGCTACTTATCTTGGAAGACGTAATCCACAACACACTCCCCCGATTTAAGCTGAGACCGGCTTTAATCAGCCATCTCGTCTTCCATGATGCAACTGATTTTTTGTCTTGCATCTAATTTCGCCCGTCTCGGTACTCTTTTTAGGGTTTCCACTTTTTTACCAATTTCCACGTTCTTTTTAGATTCAATCATACTCTCTGCCTTAAAATCGATTTCCAGGTCACACACCAGTTGAATTGGTTGTTCAATAACATAACCGTTCCCCAATCGTATTTTTAAGCCACGCGTAACTCCATCTTTTCCTTTGATATCGCTTTCAACTCGTCCAATATTTAGAAGTGCTTTGTTTTTTACATCCTCTTTAATAAGTACCACGCTTCCAACAACTAGCAGTTTTATGTTACTTCCCTTATTCCTTACTTGCTGTCGTTCTTCCATTGCATGTACATATTCGTTCATCCATCTTTTTCTCAGATGGGTTTTACAGTTTTTTATAAACTTGGCTCTCCGTATTGCATATTCCTCTTTTGCAATTAAAGCAATATCTTCTTCAAGCAATATTGCAGGTTTTCCCCTCATTAATACGTTTGGTGTCAGTACTTGATTGTCGAACTGGTCACATTGATAACAAAGTGGTCTATTGTTCATTGAGCACTCAACATCCAACAATACTTCCTCTAATTCATTGAAAGTAAGCATCCCTTTACCGGTAGTTTTAGATAAACTTCATTATTCCAATCAATCTTTCAAACAAACCTCCCCACCAAGGGGCTCTTGATAGATTAAACCTCCATTTTATAGCTTGTATAGCAAGATAGTTGGCAATATTCTCGTCGTTTTTAAGTGTAAGTAACCACTTCCCTGTTACCACAAATGTTTTTGCAATGTCACTGATTATCATCTGAGGTGGTCTTTTCCTCGCAACAAATTCTTTTAAAACCCTCTGAAATTCTACTGCTGATAGGTCATGACAAAGTTTAAGATAGACGGCTCTAGTGCTTGCGCATGTAAAAAGTGCAACGTAGCATTTTTTAATCGAATTTTTTGGTACTTTATACTTTAATGGTCCGGCAAAATCAACACCACTAACTGCAAATGGTTCAACATTGTCAGTTCTAAAGTGCGGTAACATTGCTTTTGTTGGTGGTAACAGAGGCTTCACTCTGTACTTTTTACACAAATTGCAACTACGAATAACTTTTTTAACGGCCACTCTCAAATTCGGTATCCAGAATCTTTCTCTTATGCTACCCATGGTATCTCCGACTCCTCCGTGTAAGGTTTTGGTGTGATGGTGCTCAATAATTCGTAGAAATAGTAAGAACCCTTTTGCTATAAATATTGGGCTATACCCAGTAACTCTTCCATGACACCTCCAAAGATTCTTTTCATCCTGTTTAAGTTCCACATCGGCTTTTAGCACAACAGATCCTTGTAGATGTTTAACATTGACCGTTTCGGCTTCTATCATCTCTTCCGTTTTTATTGGTCCGACTATTTTTTCTTTATTGCGACAATTGTAAATGAACCTTTTTATAAACAACGATATCCTTAAAATCTTCCAATAATTATATTTATTCCACAATTCTTCGAAAGTGCGATTTTCCTTTATTTCTTCTGTTACCATCCAGACGTTCTCCTTTAGAGAAATACTTTCACATAATGTGCCATATAAGTTATCAAATATTTCCGATTGGTTTGGCCAATATTCTTTATGACTCAACCATATTGGACCATTAAACCACAAGCTTGACAATTTTTCCGGACTCGCTCCTCTTGTTCCAAGATCGTTAGGGTTTTCTTTTGTCAGGACATAAAGCCATTTTACTTCTTCATTTAATAAGATTTTCTGAACTCGGTTTCTTACAAACTATGACCAACTGCCTTTTTCCTTCAGCCAGTAAAGTACAGCAGTGCTATTAACCCAATCAAAAACTTTACTTATGTTATACTTGGCTTATGTTTTCCTGACATGGTTCATCAACTTGCATAAGGTATGTGCAGCTACTAGCTCGATAATTCTTCCCAACACAACACATTCAACTTCAGTAGTTGATGATCCCATCCAATTTTTGATAAGCATAGTCGACAATACAGTATTTTTCCAGTGATTAACACAGGTGTATTAAATCCCAATACGTCAAAAACACTGTTGATTGCAGATAGAATTTTTCTTTTTGTTAAATTTTCTTTATTTCCGTTATTGATGCAAGTAGTGAACTCAATTGACAATTGATCTGTTTCCTTGTTCCAAGGATGTCCAAGTATTTTTGTTGATTTGTCTTCAACATTATTTTTCAATTTTCTCACGTTGCTATGCCATATGTCCAATTGAAAACTAGCTTTGTTCAAGATTTGTGTTGATTCATATTTAAACCTGATAAGTTCTTCTTTCGTTTCTCCAACCGCTTGCAGATCATCGACATAAGTATCTTCTTTTAAGGCAACTACTGTTTTTGGATTAATAACTTTGTATTTTGATTCGGCTCTGTAGTAGTTGTTTCCATATCCGTACCCTTTGTAGTAAAATCCACCTCCGTATCCTCCGTACCCTTTGTTGTATAATCCTCCTCCGTACCCTTTGTTGTATAATTCTCCTCCGTATCCACCGTAGCCATACTCGAATCTCTTGACGCATTCGTTTTTATTTATTAGATCCAACTTATTTACCATTTCGTTTTTAATTGCATTCGCTTCAACTTCCGCTATTGGTTACGATAACCATTCTTCAACCGTATCATGGCCTACTTAAATTACACGGCCTGATTTGTTGCATTTTCCGTAAAAAATTAAGAGGCCAGTTTTTTTACGGCTCAAGTATAAAAACTTAATTTTTGTTATGGTTAAGAGTCTTGTTTGCGCCATAATTGTTTTATTTTTATTATATTAAAATAGTTTAATTATAGTTAGATTTTCTTTGAGTACTTACATTATTGTGTGCTAGATTTTCTGTTAACTGATTGCCTGCTTCAGTTTATTCCAACAACACAGAATACTGAAATAGGCTTCCAGATAACTATATCAACATATACCAACATGCTACTAAAAATAATCTCTCATGTTGCTTAGATTGCCTAAAACTCTCCATTGAGCAAAAAAAAGGTTTGTAGTTTTGTATTTTTTATAATTGAAATAAGAAGAAATACATTTTTGCTAGAAATGTTTATTTTGTCTTTTTTGGAATTCTTTTACTTGATCTTTTTTAAATGAATATGTATTTTTTTTTTTTTTTTTGCAAATTACTATAAAAAATATAATAATATTTTTTATATTAATTTGCAATACAATACGAGATCTATATTTGATTCCCATTTTTGGTGGTTTTTATTTGTAAAATTTAAACTGCTTGATCAAATCTTTAAAATTTGTTTCGCAAATTTTTAATTAAAATAGGTACGTGCGTATCTGGCTATTTACGGCACCGATTTATAAGTAAAAAACTGTGACCGTTTTTTTCACAGCGTGCTCGAAGTCGGTGTGGTAAGGATGTATTTATTAGTCTTTTTTTTTAGAATTTTATATCAGCTCAGACTTTTTTTGAAAAGTAGAATGTTTTAGGTTGTATAAATTATGTTTTTTTTCCAAAAGTATTAAGTTTTTCAGTGATTTTATTGCTCTTTAAAATTTTGTTCGTGTTCTGGAAGTGCATTGATATTGAAGGCATGTTGCTACACATTTAAAATTTTCCAGTCAGCTGTGTAAATCTATTTTCTATGTTCCTGCCAAATTTCATTAAAAAATATTCATGCGCAGACACCCTATTTTGCCACCTAGTGGAGGTACATTTTCCACCTTTTTTACAACTACTGTTACTGTTACACTTTATTAAACTGTTTCTGTTAATGTTACTGTTACTTCTTGATATAAATTCCGTTGTTTTTTTTACATTTACTAGTGATTTTTATTAGATTTTCAAATTTCGTTTCTGTTCTGGAGGTACATTAATATTGAAGGCATGTTGCTACACTTTTAAAATTTTCCAGTAAGCAGTATAAATCTATTTTCTATGTGCCTGCCAAATTTCATTAAAAAATATTCATGCGCAGACACCCTATTTTTCTGTACAGTGGAGGTATGTATTTCCACTTCCGTTTAGGCGGGGAGGGGGGGCGTAGTTTGATGGTGAGCATTTGGTATATTAGATTGTTTATTCATAATAATGAGATATATAGATAGTTTTCATTAAAAAGGTATACAATTTTTTTTTCAATAGTCTTTTATTAGTAATAAATGGCTATTGAAAAAAAAAAGTTGTTAGTAATAATATTACTAACACTATTGTTGTTAGTAATAATATTACTAACACTATTAATGATTTCACACACCAAAATTAGTTTCAAGGCTAAATTCTGTTAAATCTAATTTAAAATGCTGAAATAAAAATTATGACACTTTTTTATGGTGATTCAGAATAAAATGCGAAATAATGATAACAAACAAAAACAGCATTTTCTCAATTTTTTTCTGTACCCATAATTTACCATATAACCACCAACCAGCATTATTTATGATATATAAAAATTATATATATCTATAATTTTTTATTGATCAAAGGCAATTTATTAGTTAGTTAATTGTGATTGATTGCTGACCCAATTAAATAGTAATTAAATATTAATAATGATTAAATTACAATTAAAGTAGTGTTATGATCGTTGAATTTAATTTAGTGCATCATGGGACCTAAAAAGAAAACAAATCTATTTTATGGTAAAGCTAAATCTTATTTAGTTTGTAATTTTCCAATACCAGCTCATTTAAATATGGGCTGTAGAAATGGACATGTACTGCATATATTGGCAACTAACAATGATTCATACCAAGTAACTGTAGAACTAATCAGTAAGTATTTTAACATCAACATTTCTCCCAATCAGATTCTGCAACTAGTTAGAAAATCAAAAGTCTTTGTAAAAGCTTTTTCACGAAATTTAAAACAATTTATTGACATCTGCAACATGCTCTTTGAATACCAACCAACAACATCTGCTGTGACTCAAACATCACAGTTAATCACAACCTCTAATCACATTGCTACGTGTTCTTCATTTTTTTCTCAGCAAATCACTGTTTCGTCTCTATCAAATAGTGACTCTTCTCAAGAATCAATATCCAGGTTGAGAGCTGACCAGGTTAGTCCCAGGAAAAAGATTATGAGAAAGAGATTAACCATTTTGGAAAACGAAATCGCAGTTAAAAAGAGAAAACATAAAGAAGATCTTAAAGGTTTAAGAGAAAAGGCAAAGGCTAGACCATACAGATTAAAATATCTAAATCAAGTTATTGCTCGTAAGGAAAAGATAATTCATCAACTTAGAAAAAAATTAAAAGAAAATTTTTTAAATATACAGTTAAAAAAACTTCAAAATCAAATTTTTTATTTAAAACAACAGTTAACATTCACCGAAACCAAGTTTTTTAATCAAAAGTCAATGTTATCCCAACAACTTGCTGACAAAAATTCTGCAATTCTTGTACTTCAAAATGACATACTGGTTTTACAGGAAAAGTTAGAAGATATTCAGCAAGTAACACAAAACACCAAAAATGAAAAATGCTACTCAGCAGATATCAGAACATTATATATGACATGCTTGTGTGCCAAGTTCCTACACATAGTGTGCCATCTCTGCTCCATAAAATTGGAGAACATACTGGCTATCAATTTAGTCAAATTCCACATCGGACAACTGTAGAACAAATGATGCGTGAGCTTGGTGTTCTTTCAGACTTACAGACTGCTGAGATAGCATTTACAACGAAAGATCTGACACTTGGTTTTGATGCAACAACCCAGGAGGGTGTTCATGTAAATGCTGTGCACTTAACAACCGAATCAGTATGTATGGTTGTAGCTATTGATCAACTTCCTGGAGGTACAGCTTATGACTATCAGAGTCACATTACAAAATCTGTTGATAATCTTGCTAAGTTATATAGTGACTTCTATAAGCTTAAATACACTGATGTAAGAAGCACTATTATCGGGAACATAACAAATACCATGAGTGATAGAGTTGCAACAAACCATGCAACAGTCTCAAAGATAAACCTAGTTTGGCAGAAATCATTAAATGAACTTAACTGTCACCTTCACCCCTTGGACACAATGACAAGCTCTTGCAAGTCTTCACTTAAAGCATTAGAGACTTCAAAAGGGAAACTTTTTGGAAGAGACTGCATAGCAGCAAACATTGTTGTACAGCTGAACAAACTTCGTTACAAGGATGCTAAAGGTACCTATATAGTTTTAAAACCATTCTTTTACTTTAATATAGTGTAGTTTTGTAAATAAAATTACAAGTTAAAAATATATAAATATTATAATTATTGCATGTTTTTAATTCATATTCTCCTTGCAATTCCCAAAATGACTTTCTTTATGTTATTCATAGGCGATCCAAAGGGTTTTGTAACCTTTTTGGACCAACATGAGTTGCCCAGAGGATTGCTACCACGCTATAGAGGGAACAGACTACATATACTTTTTCACGCATGTGGTATTTTGATCCATCATTATGCCATATTGAAGATATTGCTGTGTTCTGGCTTGGCGTTATGTGGAGGTCTGCGAAATAGTTTGTTTCAAGACTTTACATCTGAAATAGGTATACCACTATTATTTAC